TATATATATATATACACACACGTGTGTGTGTGTAATTATGCACATTTACATAAATTATACATATAGAGTAGATTTTGGGCCTATGAGATGCCATTGGTGAGATCTTAAACCTGTAGATTTTGGGCTAATCCAGTAGAAGTCGAGCTCATTAACTCTCTGTAGAACTTGGGACTGGAATTGAGCATTAGTTGGGCTAACTAGAAGTAGACCTTTGGGCTAAAAGTTCAGTATTGCGATTTCATACAATTTTGACAAAACGCTTACGATGATTTGACCCTGGTTATAACAAATAATACTTACATGTACTTAGTATTAACACCCAATGAAAGAATTTATAAGCGCCAAATTAAATTGTATCGCTTTCGGCATTTAAGGGTCATGGGCCTATCCGAAGAGAATCACGTTCTTGGTCATAAATATCTAAACTGGTTGTTTGATGTTCAAGAATTCTTGTTTTAATAGTTCATATCATCCATACATAGTTTTTGTCTAAAGACAATATACTTATACACATTACTTAACATGATTAAGGATAAAACTTTATAATTAGAATAGAAGTCTTCCGTTCATTTGCTGTGCAATTCTGAGTGTCGTCAACTTCTTTTTCCATTAGGCAACCTACACTATAGAAAAAAGTCAAAATTGTGACTGGAGAATTCCGTCACAATACTGTCGCAATTCATTATTTGTGACGGAATCACAGGCGTCTCATAATCTTTGGTCATAAATCGTTATTGACGGAATTGTATTCCGTCACAATTTTTTGTGACAGAAATTGTGATGGATTATCCGTCATTAAACTCTGCAGCCCCCTGTGCTTGATTCCAGTCACAAACTTTGACGGATTTGTGACGACTCTGTCCATCACAATATTTTTGACCAATATTTTCTTGTGGAAATTTTATTTATCCCACTATAACATTTGTGACACAATATTTCGTCACAAAAAAAAACTGTCACAAATGTTGTCACGGAATATGTTGCGTCACTAATTTAGTGGTTAGTAAAACAATTGTGACTCACTAAATCTGTCACAAATTTAACTTTTAAACTTTCAAATTTAACAAATTATAATAATATTTAATTAGCTAAAAGCATAAAATAATAAAATGGCAATCAAAATATAACAAACATAACGTTAAATATATTATCCAAAAGTTTGAAGTTAAATATGAAAACTTCATATATTCAGCTAACAAAAGTTAGCAACATTACACTTAAATCGGTTAACAAAAGTTTTATAATATTCAACAGTTAAGCATCAACTAAGACCAACAAATGGGCGAGATGATAATGCCATCTCGCTCTTCATGCTCCTCTATAGAACGAAATCGATCGTCACTTTGTTGCCTCAAAAGTGCAACCTCTTGCTCGACGCGTTGCTGCACCTCTTGCTCGACTCGTTGCTGCACCTCTTGCTCGATGTGTTGCTGCATCTCTTCCTCTAACCGTTGTTGAAGAATCCTCTCTTGAGTTTCTCTCATACGCAACACCTCCACCACAAGAACTTTAATGCGTTCTTCAGCAGCATCCGGTATCGGATGAAAAGTGCGTGAAGTGGTAGAGTTGGAGTCTGGATACAAAGTCAAAGATTGAGATCCTAAACCATACACACGCCGTTTCTTTTCTCCACCCACAACCTCAAAGTACAGGCTATTCACATCGACTTCTTCTGTATCATCTGACAGGTTTGAATTAGCATCAGCCACCACAATCTCCATTTTTTCCTGCATTCAATTATGAGAATAAAAAAGATTAACCTAAATAAAGAATGTGATAAATCATCTCCTACATCAAAACTGCCAAAGTTTTGGCTAGAGCAAATGTAATATATAGCAGAAATCATAATCAGCAGTGAAAAAACAGATATAGTAGTTCTTGAATGACCCAAAGATCCATCCGCCATTCAACTACTAAAAGGGGAGGAAGAATAAAAATTTTCAACTTCATGATACTTAATCCACTGTTCTAAACTTTGTTTCACAAAATTTAACATAGAAATGAATCAAAATGGACTACAATATATACCAAAAGATATATGAGTTGATCATATGTCAGCTGCTTTTCCAAAATACAACTATTTTTAACCTTTTCAATTTAAAGATAAACAATGGAAAGATGAATCTTAAGTCAGCTAAGAACAAGTCATGAACCACACTTATTATGACCTTATACTCACTTTTCTCATACAACAAGTAAAGTAGTATTCTAACATCAATCTTCCTCAGATTAGCAATACAGAAAAATATAACTTTTTGCACATAGTTAAATCTCCTTTGACAATTCCAATCGTATTCAACAATTGCACACAGTTAAGTGGGAGATGACAGCAGTATTTTCAGGAACTAACGGTACTAAGAATAGAGAAATATTTTATTAAGCATTTGAACAGTAAGAAAGAATAGAGAAAGCCCAATAAACGTGAAAAACAATGTCTTTAATCTAGTCCAAGCAGGAAGTTAAATAAACCACAAATGAAGTCAAGATTGAATAATACAACAAGAGATTATTATTCCCCAACTTCCAAAATGCCATTCCATTATTTTCTTTTATGTTCACAGAGTGGAAAACTCCACCCCTTTAAAATAACAAATTGTTATTCCAACACTCGATTCCTCTAATTCAAGCAACAAATGAAGTCACCAGTCCATTCATGACAAATACATACAACATCAAAAAAATTAATTTTTAGGTATTGCCTCCCAAGAAATAGGCATCGCTTAATAAGTAACTTATTAAACAAAACACACTTGTTCCTTTCAATTCTTACTGAGGTTGTAGTTATTTAGCAGTATAATTCACCTTTTCTTTCTTCATATAAACTTCTGATGTCATGTGAAAAATAGACCTATACAATACAAGGAACTCACTTGAACGCTAGTAGATTTAGCATCAACAAAGTTGCCATCCTTTCTTTGATGTAGCTTCTTGAATATATCCCACGAATTTGGTGAACGACATAGTTTTACTGTATGTAAATACAATTATATATTATAACTGAACATATTTGTAGGCAATTACTCTACTAAAACAACAACAACAACAACCCAGTATAATCCCACTAGTGGGGTCTGGGGAGGGTAGTGTGTACACAGACCTTACCCCTACCATGAGGTAGAGAGGCGGTTTCCAATAGACCCTCGGCAACCTTCCCTCCAAGAACTCCCCACCTTGCTCTTGGGGTGACTCGAACTCACAACCTCTTGGTTGGAAGTGGAGGTTGCTTACCATCAGAGCAGCCTCTCTGATGGTAAGAAATACCATCAGAGGTAAGAACTCCAACTCCACTGTATGTTTAATTACTCTACTAAAAGATAAAAAGAAATACCAAGTCTCTAGTATGCTCCACTGTAGACCTAGAACCACCGGTATGCTTGCTAGGACCAGTACCCGGACCACCAGTCTCGCTGCACCGGTTCTGAGCAGCAGTACGAGATTTGTCAAGCCACTTCTCGGAGGACCAATGTGCATTCCAGCTATCCCATATATCCTGTAGAACCCAAGTAGGCTTGACTTTACCTTTTCGCCAAACATACAATTTCTTATTGTACAATGTGGATGTTACTTTATTCCATGTATGTTTAATTATGGCACTCTCAGCAGTAGTCCACTGATACAATTTCTAAAAAAAAATATTTATCTCAATCAATGACGTAAATATACACATACATACAAAATATTTACTCATAGTTTGAAATGAGTTATGAGATTGGGAATTCTGAGTTTCTTGTTGTACAGTTTCACCAACTATTTCTTCTTGATTAACATTACATACTCCTAGATATGGAATATAACTTTCACCATGGTGATACCAACGATAATAATTCGGTACAAAACCGTGTCTCCAAAGATGTACCATAACAGCAATTTCATCTAAGATATTTCTATTCCGACATTTATGATGATTACAAGGACATCTTAGCTTTTCGCCATCCATGCATTGTGGATAACTTTTAGCAAATGCAACAAACTCCTCAACCCCAGCAATAAATCTAGGATTAATGAATCTATTTTCCAATCTAGCATACATCCACTCACGATTAGAATTCATATTCTACACTTTGACAAGACAATAATAAAACATATGTTATAACTTACATGATGATAATTAAACCATAAGAGCTTACATAAGACTATAGACTCGAGCATAAAACTTAAAATATAAATTCAAATAAATATTTACACGTACAAGCAAAGAGAGTTAAGATCGATGTTGCAATTAAAGACAATAATTTTCATTTGCTTTGCTATGTGAAATACTACTAAGAGTATAAAATTTTAAGAAACTACTAAAACTTCTTCAGTTACCCACAATTAAAGCCCTTATCTTTATGCTTTTTTGGATATTTGAATACTTGCAATACAGTTCTTTCTTTGTATATATACACCAAAAATTACAAATAAAAAATCTGCCATATCTTAAAACCCAAGCTTAAAATAAAATAAAATAAAATATCTTAGAAAGAGTACTTATCAGAAAAGACTTAATTTATTCTTTTATTTTACTAGTTGAGAAACTAACACATGTAGGTTTTTCACTTCACAATTCATCTATTCTGGCACTTTTGATGAAGACCCGCTAAGATTTTTCTATAAATTTCAAATATTTAGAGTTGGGATAAAATAAAATTGAATAAAAAACATAAATAATTAAATGCATGGTATGCAATATTTTTTTAGTTTACCTTGAAGATTTTTGAGCTTTAGTTGAAGGATCCAATAGAAAGGGCAGGGAAAAATTAAGAAGGGATGATGCTATTCACTTCAACAAACTACTTTTTCGAGCAAAGCCTAACTGGGAATGGAGCAAACCAAAGCTGAAACAGATTGAAATAAAAAAGAATCAAAAATTAGCCCAAAAATTTCTAGATTTATGAACAAAGAGAATGATATAGAAGCAAACCTGAAAAGAATGAGGGAGTCGAATAGCTTGTAGTGAAACTTATTGAGGATGTCGATGGACCAGGTATTGAAGAATCGATGGTTGAAGGTGAAGGGGAAAAAGAGTCGATGGTTGAAGGTGAAGGGGAAAAGAGACCTCTGTGAATTTGGGGGAAAAGGAAATAAGGGTTTTGGACTAATATTTGATGTAAGGGGGGAAATACGGGTGGAAAAACCAAAAAGCAGTCCAAAATTTTCTAAAACTAGCGCCAGACACATTGGTCAAAACTATTACCTATTTTAAGCTTTTTTAATTTTGTGACTGATTTAGATGTATGTCACAAATTTGTGACGCATTTCGGCAGTCACAAAAATATAATTTTTATTAGCTATGTATTTTTAATAATATTGTGATAATTTTGTGACGGAATTTCGTAAGATTATTTTACCGTCATAATTTCGTGACAATTTATTTTTGCCATCTCTATGTTCCGTCACAACTTTGTTACAAATCCATCACAAATAGAATTTTTGTAAAATATTATATTTTTTCAGCAAATTTTAGGCTATGTAAGGATGATCCATCACAAATCCGATAAAATTCCGTCACAATTTTTTGAACAACTTGTCTGTCACGAAATTTCCGTCACAATTTTGACTATTTTTTGTAGCGCTAGTATTTGCTAGTTCTACAAGTCAATTAGACATTCACTACCATTGAAGAAAATTTGCGCAATTTTTCACGAAAAATTTTTAAACGGTGTCATCCCCTCCTGGAAGATTTTCTGAACTAGCCACACAAGGAGAAATATTATGCACTCCCTATGTTACAAATTTTTTGACGTTACTACAATTTGTAAGTCAAATTTTTTTTCCATTGATTCTGATTACATAAGAAGTTATTAAATAATTATAAATGTAATTATAAGAAAAATTGTGTTAATATATTTTATTTAATATCTTAACGTGTATTTATTCAAATAATATTCGAACTCACTCTGAAAATTAGATAATTTAGATTCTCGTGCTCCAATCACCACAAATTTTTTTGGATAGAAAAAATAATAAAATCTCATAGAATTATTACTATTCAAGATTTATTCAACATCCGGGAATATTATTACACAATGTCACTAGTATAGCGACTAGCAAGTATACATAGTACCTAGTAGTAATTTATTGGTCTTATTAGGTGTCATATATGCATATATGATTAGAAAGTAATTATAAACTGGATAATAAGAGACTTAAATTGTTCCTTCTCTTTAACTTTGTGAACAAGGTTGCAAGGTGTAATGTTTACAAGTGACAACGATTTGTTCTCTTCATAATTCTTTTAACCTTTTTATTATAGAGCGAGTCTAGGAAATCGTAAGGGAAACAGAAAATCTTTTGAATTAGAAAACTACAATTAACTGATATAGCAAGAAATTACAATTATGGCTATAAAATTCTTTTTAATAAATTGTCTTTTCTCTTTTCTTTTTTTTCTTACTTTAATATGTGTCCATGCAGAGGCATAGCTAGCATGAATCCGATACCTGAATCCCGAAGCTTTTGCTCACTCCTTTTATATGCACTAAAAATAAACTAAATATTGATAAAAATTTAAATAAGAATCAAGTTATTATTATATATTAACTTAGATCGTTGTAGGCACCATAAACTTTAAATCTTACTACCTCCGGTCCACAATAAGTGACCAATTTATTTTTTTATTTTGGTCCAAAATAAGTATTCATTTATATAATCAAGAAAAAATTCAATTTGTTTTTCCAAAGTTACCCTTATGTACGTATCCCTAAAATGTCTTTTACTCCTCACATTAACTATGTTGCAACATTTAATTAAGGTAGTTTAGTCACACCAACTGTTTTTGTCTAAAATTTTGTATTTTCTTAATGGGTGTGCCCAAAGTAAATTGATCACTTATTGTGGATCGGAGAAAGTAGATCCCATTCCATGCAACTGATTTTCTCGCCAAAAAGAAGAAAAAAAAGGGGAAAAGAGGCATTTTCATCTTTTTTGATGGGGAGGGTATCATTCCTAAATTCCTACATCACTTTTAATAATTGGATAACAGTACTCCAATTGTTGATTAGGCAGAATCAACATCCCGCTTTTTTGATAGAAAGTCTATGTAGAATCTACGTGATATTTATCACTGTTATATATATACTCGTAATTTGATAATGCAGATTGTGGAAAAAATTATGTGAAAGAGATTACGCGATACTTCATAACTAGTACAAAGGGGACTTTTCGTAGAACTTGAAATTCCAAAAATCTAGACGCCAAAAATAGAACAAAACAAAATAAAATAAGAATCTGCTAGCACACCAATTTCTCATGTAGTAGTAATTAAATCTCTCACCAAAGTTTAAAGGATAGTGGTCCTATCAAATATTGCACTTTTAATCCTACAATATTATTCTATTCCTAATCTTCGTCAGCTTAGCTTTCCCTTTGCCAGGGGCCCCTAATTGGAAAAACAAAACAGCGAGTTAGCGACTGCAAGAAAACTAATTAATAATGACCTCTATGCAAGATAAGCAAAATATCTATTTGTTAGGAGTATTTTTCCTCGAGTGAGAAAAACGCTATTTTTGTCATTCTACTTTATTTGCAATCGATCTCTCAATAATTCGACTTTGCATATTTGACTTTCAATTTTGTTTAATACTTAAGATACAAACAAAGAGTAACGCAGAAACTAAAATCGTACTTTGTATTTTTCCTAAATTAATTTAAAATCTTAGTAAGTACTTCATCCGGTCCACAATAACTGACCAATTTGCTTTGGGCACACCCATTAAGGAAATATAAAATTCTAGACAAAAATAGTTAGCGTGACTAAACTACCCTTAATTAAATATTACAGCATAATTAATGTAAGGAGTAAAACACTTTTTAGGAATACATATATAAGGGTAATTTTAGAACACTTGTTCTTGATTATATAAATAAACAATTATTTTGGACCAAAATAAAAAAATAAATTGGTCACTTATGGACCGGAAGAATAACTAGTAAGGGCTGCACTACACAAGTTGGAATACAACAAAACGGTTGAAAAGTCAGTCACTTGCTGCTTGTAAACAAAAGAAAAAAGAGACTTTAGTAGTCTTCTAGCGCCCACTTTATAATCAACGAACCAGTGAAGACAAGAAAGGAAGCACAAGAGTGGATGACAGGTAACAAAAACAATTGCTTGCAAAATTATGTGATATGGTACGTTAGAGGGGCGGAGGTAGAAGTTTAAGATATGTATTCGTCGAATCTAATACTTTTAACTTAAATATTGTATTTATATTAAGAAATTTATAAATTATGCACAAATATTATATTTAAAATTCAGTTATAATTAGTACTTATTTGAAATCGTATTTTTAAAATTCATAACCCCGCAAAATTAAAATATTTAATTGAGATGGAGCAAAGAGGGGGAAAAGTGATCAGGAGAATCACAAGAAAAGCCACTTTTTGAGTGATGTGCAACTAATCAGTATAGGGTAGGGCATGGAATATTATCTTATTTGAAGACCATCACCAGCTAGCATATTTAAAGATCTTTTTTCTCAGTGTGTTCTGCATGTCTGAGTAAAGCAAACCATTCAGGGGAAAAGAAAAAAGAAGAAGAGAGCAAAAGTAAAACCATGGCCACTTGCAACCCCAATATTCTCTTTTAAGTCTTTTACTAGTATCCTTAACCGCACACCACCTGAAAATAACACACACCATGATTCTAGGATTCTCTGGCTTTTCTTCTCCTTTTTCCCATGCATGTCTATAAATCTGCGTCTAGTTACGGAACAAATTGTGAATAGGCAACCAAACATCACTATTTCTTGAGTAATATATAGAAACATGTGCTTATTCTTTCTATGAAATCTGACTTGATGCCCTAGTTGCAATAGGGTTTCTCTAGCATATCTTAGTCTTAAGTGGAACAAAAAGGATAGAAAGAAATGACCCAACTATTCTTTCATATCGCCCCTTTTCATTTCGTCATAATTAATATCATGTGTTGCCTATATGGTAGCTTGCAAATTTAATTAAAAATGCTTATTGGTGTCATTTAAATAGATAGTCATGAATATTAGAATTAACTTTTTCCTAATAACTTGTGATTAATTAAGTCCAAATATCATAACTTTATAGAATAAGAGTTTTTGGAGAGTTTTTTTTATATTATTAATAGAAAATTAAACTCATAAAATTTCGTCGTATCATGTGACTGTTATATTCAAGTTGCAAACTACATGATGGATTGATGGGATAATGGTATAGCAAAACTTCGGATTTGGTTCACCTTCTGTACAGAATCTCTCCATTTCCATCAATGCACATTTAATTTAATGACACTTGTCCTCTTTTGGATCTAAGGGCCAAGGTTTATTTAGAATAAATCTTGGTTAAACTAATTCTTTTGCTGGGTTAGAATGAAAATAATTTTTTTTTGCACATTTTTTTTCGTTCTGATTGGGCAGATAAAATTAGTTAGTCAGAGAGGAAAAATATTTTCTTACCAAGATTAAAACCAAAAAATCCTATATTTTTTCATTTGTCCTCTACTAATTTTATCTGCCCAATCAGAACGAAAAAAAATGTGCAAAAAAAAATTATTTTTATTCTAACCCAACAAAAAAATTAGTTTAACCAAGATTTACTCTAAATAAACCTTGGCCCTTAGTTCCGAAAGAGGACAAGTGTCATTAAATTAAATGTGTATCGACGGAAATGGAGAGATTTGTACGGGAGGTGAGCCAAATCCCAAAATCTCATAGCAGCATTGTACGTACCTCAATATCTCGAAAATGCAACAGTGAGCGAAGGGTGGGTATTGCTGACCGAGACACTATCCTTATCCATTATTTCTCGCTACTAAAAGTATAAATATATTTGCCTCATGTATGATTTTATGCGTTAGCTCGCTCATGGAGAAACATCATCTGTCTAGTTGAAATGATGTAAAAGCAAGATCATAATCAAGCAAAGCCTTTTAAAAACATTATATTCGTCGCATTAATATTGAACAAAGATGCAGTAATATCCAGTGTACTAGCTAGTAAAGTAGGCGTTTCATGTTTGGAAAGGTATATGTAGACACAAAAAATTAAGAATTAAGAAAAATCTCAATTAACTCTTGATTTGTCACAATCTACATACAGTATGCTAGCTAATGGTAAGATTAACTTATTTCTCTCGGAATCTAGCTGCTATCTATAGATATAATATAAACCAAATATAGTGTCCAGGGTCAGATGACCTATTTCTGGTTCGATATTATCTTTTCGATCAGTGAAAAGTAAATGCTGTTTAGCAGGCGGTGCAAAAGTCCTTTGGTCGATAAATATGAGGTATTGCGCATCCAAGTCTTTCAACTATATATTGTCTTTTCTTGTCTTTTGAATATCAAGCCCATATACATTAAATGAAATGTCATTGTCTTGGTTTTGATAAGTTGTAATACTGGTATTTAAATATAGGTCTTATTCGGGGTATCCGCTCCTATGACAACAAATTCAAAAGTTTACCCACTTATACAAAAAGGATCGTGTCGACTAATAGGGAATCATGCATTTATGTTATCAGATTATTATATATGTCACTACATTATCAGTTTTGCTACTATTGTTAGTCCTAAATTAGCATTCCAGCAAAAAGAGAAGAAAAAAGATTCGAGATATGAAGCAGAGACAGATGGATATAGCTAAAAGAACAATAGTGCATACCTCACTGATCGATGCTTTCATGTTTATCTTCATATCTACTTGTAAAGCAAATTGCAAGCTCAGTTCCAGATATTATATACTGGTGTGTGTATGTGTGTGGGGATTTAGTTTATATATATACTGACTTTACATTATGATTGCATTTTAAACTATTTTAGCGAAGTATTACTTCCCAATTTATGTGGTGTTGTTTGTCTTGATACGAAGTTGAAGAAAAAAAGAAAGACGGTTGAAGCTTGTATTCTAAAACAAACCGTAAATGTTTGTGTAACTTATAAATTAAACCATCTCATTAAAGATAAAGTACAAAGTTTAAAGTTAAATTACTTCTAAATAAGTATGACCTTTTTTAGGCAAATTAAAAAGAAAAATATTACGCATAAATTGGGACAGTGGGAAGGGTACTCTTTTCTATTTTTCAAGTAGTACCAATTTACTTTTGATGAACGATTAAGTGTAGTTATTTGATCTTTTAGGTGATTCCTTATATGATAAAAATTCTTCTACATTCTTAGCTGGTAGAAGTTAAACTCTATATATATATAGCCCTCTCGCGGTCTCACCTCGCCACTCACGATACAATCCAATATCTAACGCAATTATTACCACATATCTCTACAGAGTATTTCGTAAAAGCTTATTGCCCAAATACAAGAGATGGATTCCATCCGCAAGCGCAAAACAGGGTTCATAAAAGGTAAACTGGTGAAGTCTTTATACCGAGCTGCAGCATCACCTGTACAATACGGGAGCAGCAAGGTAAAGGCCACTGCACCTCCTACTTACAACTCCGAGGGCATGAGTCCTCGAACTGTTTATCATCTTCATATTCATAATCATCAGCCAAAGGAAAAGCTTATTCCTTATAATCCTAATAGTGTTATTGCCTCGTCGGCCAGCTTCTCGTCAGATGCAGTAGGGTTTATAGTGAACCAGGAGCAAGCTGCTCCTCCGCTGAAGCCAAAAGTTTCTTATTACATTCCATCGCAGAGTACTGTTGGCTCTAACGGTAGTACTGGCCGCGGCACTTATTATGGCAAGATTGACACTGACGAAAGTGTTGATTTAAAGGCTGCCAACTACATAACAAGTGTTCAGGAGCGTTTTAAACTTGAACGTCTTAATTCAGAGAGGAACATGTCGTCTCTGCAATCTCACTAAATTTTGCATCTTGGTTCAACCTTAATTACTGATTATAATTAATAATCTTTAGCATTTGCAAGCAGGCAAGGTGTCAATTAATCGTTAGCATTAATGTCACCTGATTTTGTTGCTAGCTAGTTTATTAAGTACTTAAATAAAAACTTCATAGCGGGAAGTATCTGATGCAGACAGTTAATTTTCATGCAATAAGATTAATTTAATAATATTGCAGCCTCTTCGTGGAGTACTTGATCATTTTGCATTTGGGGTAATTTTATGAATTGTCACTCAGCTTTTATTTCATTTCATCAAAGTCATTAAAATTATTTATTTATAAACAAAAAAGACACTTAAGAATACCACAGGAATTCACTAAATAGTTTTTTTGTAACTAAAAGAGTCACTCAAATTTTCTTAAAGTAATCATAGAAAATGACTCTTTTGTATATCCTTATAACGAATTACTACGATGCTTGGACAAAGTTTAATTTGAATATATTTGTAACAAAACTAGTGATTAATTTGTTTCTACTATGCTGTGAGAAATCCACACGTTAATTCACCAATGTTTGTGGTAAAAAAATTTTTTTACAACGTCTGTAGGTAGTTACTTTTCCTATCTAGCTCTCCTCTTTTATTTCGTTCTTAATTACTACTGGATTAATGAAGATTCAAAAAGAACCTCTCTCTAGCTGTCTCTTTCGATCAAGAACACTACGTTGCGTTCAAGAAACCAAATGTAGGAATAATCTTCATCATACTCATCCAATTATCTGGTGACAATGACTAGGAAACTGAATCGCTTTCCTGCCTTCAATTTATAATTAAAAAAATCACTGAAGCCATATTAGTCATGCAGTAACTGGATAATCTTTTTGTTGCATTCTTGGCCCACTATATATCCAAGAAATATTCTACCTCTGTCAAAGGCATCTCATGAGCATCCACTTGTTTGTTTCCTCGGGCTAAAAAGAGGCACTCATAAGGAGATAGTGTTTTCTTGGAGTAGTTTTCTCACTTTAATGCAAATTAGAGCCTTAATTTCAGTATGTTTAAGTTAGACGCAAATCCCAAAATTTAGCCAAATGGCAAAAGTATGTAAATGTATACTGTTGTAACTATCCAGCATAATCTCATCCCATAACAATGGCTTGTTTAAATAGTTTTCACGTTGTTTGTTCTGTATTAGCAGCAATATTATATTTGAGTTTAAACGCCCGAATCGCAAATATAAACCCCAATTAGTTGTGCGATTGGATAAATAAACAATTTTGTTTTATTCCAAATATGTGGATTCAATCAGTTTATGTATTTAGTAATTAATGTAAAGATGCATGTATGACTTCGTACATGTATTTTTTGGGCTTTAGTAATTCTTAAGCCTTCTGGACCATGATTTGTTCTAAGCTACAAAAAGAAGAAGTACAGCTCGATTGCATGAAGCATCCTTCGTTAACGCCGCGTTCGGAGAAAGGTCGTCACACCCATTAGGCTGCCTACCATCCAAGCAGCCAGAGCCTGATTCCAAAGGGCTCCGATCGTGCTTTGTGTACCCTGTCAAACGGCCAATCATACAATTTAGAGTTATACTTTTTAGTTGAATCTATCATGATATGCGATTCGCTATCAAAAATTGTCATTGGTCTTCATATTAATATTGCTAATATATACCTTCAACGAAGCATGTCATAGTAAAAGTAGTCAAACAATTTAAGATATGAATGTATGTACTATGTAATAAGCACCCAAAATTAAACACAAACTATCATAGTATCAATGAGTATCAAAGTACACCTTGACCCATACGAAATGAATACATAGTGGAGCTTGAAAGAACTCGTAAGAAAAATAAGATAAAGTTGGCATTTGAGGATGTTTGTGGTGATGGTAAATTCTAGCCGGTGTAAATGTGGACACCGATGGCAATAAGGAAGATGGTAATGAAGCCAAAGAAGAGAAGAGTATGTATGAAAATGGAGAGTCCACTTGTCTGAAAATTGGCAAACTCTACCGCCCTGCTGTTTCCTGGTAGTTGAAAGAGAAGCCCAGGGCTCAACAGCACAAATAGCACCACTGCTATTACCACTGGTCCCCAATCAGCCATCTCTGTTAGTTTGATATAAGTTATGTATGTAGAAGTGAAAATGAAAGAAAAAGGAAGAAGTACCAATGATCTTTAGAGAATTTGGGAAGAGGAAACCAGCGTTATATGGTAGCGCCGTGGCTTTTATTTTTCAGCAAATTAAGGACAAGTGAAACAAGACAATGCATACTCTGCCAACACAGAAATTACCGCATTGTGAGACAAATATAGCGTTTGTTAAATGACACGTATTATCAGCTGATAGCGAATAGCAATTAACATGATTATCTTTTGCCGACCACGCAACAAGTTGAGAATCTTCTCATTTCTTCTCCTGGACGGCACTCCCTTTTGTGGGCTTGGGCCATTGTAAGCATGGGCAAAAACTACAAATTTTACTGGTTTAGGTAGTCTTATAGCAAGACAGTAGCCCAACCCAACATAGATGGCCGATGGGCGTACCTGCTAGTGGAAAATTAGAAAAGATAAAGAGTCCATTCATGATGAAAACCCATTTCGTCAACCCAATATGTCAAAATAATGTGCCATCTGAGACTGCTGATACCACCTAATTCCTTTCAAGTTTAACTTCTACATAATAATAGTGTAAAACAAAACTTTACACTATTAGATCACCGATAAGATAACTACATATAATCATTCATAAAAAGGTGAAATCAGTAACCTAAAAGATTAAGGTAAATTACATGTTACAGCTGATTAAAATACATTCATAGTGTAACATTTGTTTTACAGAGTGTGTGTTAGTTAAATCTTATCATTCTATAAGCCGTTTCGTATTTGATTCTTTCCAATTGCGTCACAAAGGCTAGAAAAAATAAACCAACAGGTAAGCTTAAAAAATTTAAAATGGCATGTATCAATCATCAAGATCCTGAGGTTTTGAAGTTACATTGTTTTGACGTCGCTCTCTAACTTAGAGAAATGCAAAACCGCTCGTTCCTTTCATGCAAAATATTAGTCTCATTATGAGTCTCGTGGAAGAATGTTCTTTGCTCAACGCGGTTTAAACAAAAGCAAATCCACAGTGGGCACCCCCTGCTCTTTGGCCAACAATAAATTGAAGAAATTATAAAGGCCCGCACTTTAAAAATAAGAACTTAAACATTGCCAATGCCATTAAATCATTTCCCAAGGGTTGCATGTCGAAGAAATCAGCCAAAGAATTGTGCATTGTAAACGCAACAAATTGTTGGCTTTCTCTACTTTCCACGTCCACCACCTTCTTTTTCCAAATCTTTTATAAAGACACCACCTTGATGAATTTATGTAATAAAATTTGTAAAGCAAAATGCAAAAGAAAGGCTTGCGCGTTGTTCAATAATCGGAAACTTAAACATAAAGTTGGTATTTTCTGTCGACTTCCATAAAGCAAAAATCACCCCCCACTACCACAAATCATACCTTTCTTCCCCTTTAAAACACACTGCCTGCTTTTCACCCTCAAGTTTAGTATATCCCCTTCTCCTTCTTCACTAAGCAAAACACTACATTTGCAATATATCTGCTGCTACAAATTTGCAAACACCACAACTATATACAAGAGCAAGAAACAGAGAGATCGCTTAAAGCTCAGATTTTCGAGTACCTAGTAATTTCCTTTAGATAAAGAAAGACAGGATAGTGAAATAAAGATGGTCGCTGATTGGGGGCCAGTGGTGGTTGCTGTGGCGATGTTCATCTTACTGTCACCGGGATTGCTATTCCAGTTACCGGCGAGGACTCGGGTGATTGAGTTCGGGAACATGTACACTAGTGGAATTTCAATCCTTGTCCATGCCATCTTATTCTTCTGTATTTATACAATCTTGATAGTTGCCATTGGTGTTCATATACGATCTGGTTGAAACTGGCAATTACAAGGCAGAATTTATGTTTTCTTCTTCGACCCTGCTGCTCCAGCCAAATTCTCAACTCTTCTTTGAAGGCTTTTGCTGAAGGGGGATTCTTGTTTTTATCAAACCTTTTTCTGTGTTTCTTTTCTTTTTGAACTAGTTTGATTTTCTGAAATACTCTAACAAAGTGTTGTGCGCTCGACATCAATGTTTATCAAATTCATGCAAATGAAAGGAACAAGTTTTTGAACCACTTTTATCATATTCTCTGTACATGACGGTTCTTAATATAAACTCTCATCTTTTTTCTTTTCTTTTTGGGGGGAGGGTTGAGGGGTAAGGGTGTACAGGGAACAAGGTATATATAAAGGCAGCCCGGTGCACTAAACTCCCGCTATGCGNTACTTATTAGATTGTGGTAAATGGAAGAAAAGACAGAATCAATCCTTTCTCAAGGCGCAAGCAATGGCTTGCACTTTGCAGATCTCAAACATTAAAATTAAGCACCAAACTGAGAGCCTGGAGATTAAAAACTATAATTCGGAAAAAATTGTCGCTTGAACAAATAATCCTAGGAAATACTTCCTAGCCCATCAAATCATACGGCACCATCATCTTTGGTCCAAGAAATATTGCACGAAAAGTGAGTCCTGAATATTTCACTCTGATCTTGATACTACTTCCAAGTGTTACCAAAAGAATACTAGAGCTAGATTTAGGGACTTGAACTGTATCCTTTCAATGGACCTTAGCTAGTTTTCAATTACACCAGTTCCCTCTAGCTCGTTTTCTTGTCAATTAGAAGTGTGTGCGTTTCAAACATGATATTGTAGAAGCTGATAATCTTACACTGAAGGGGTCTATACCTAATTGAATTCAACATCTCCTTTTTTAACCCAGAAACAAGACTGGTCGCTTTCTATTTCTAACTTAAAAAAACTAGTCGTCAAAGATATTAATTATTAATTCTAGAATCGACTATATTCCAACCCTATTGCAGCTTACTGTCACAATCACACCACCTTAATTAGTTTCCTATAGATTTTGAGAGGAAGGAAGAGTTAAAAGACAATCTCAACTCAGACCCAAAAACAAACAAAAAAAGATGCAGTTCAATAAGCATTTGAGCAACCAAGAGAAACAGCAGGCAAATAAATAGGGCATATATAATTAAAACAGCTCATTTCAAAAACTCAATCTTTCTTCATATTTTTTCTTAACAAGCCAAAAGTACAAAGAAACAGATCTTAACTTCAGTAAGAAAAGAGCTTACAAGTTACAAGTAAAACCCTCATCGATTAGTAAAAATAATAGCATAAAAGGGGGATTTCGAGAAGATCTGGAGTATATAGGATCAACCAGTATAGATGTGAACATGAACAGCCAGAATGAGAATAGCATAAAGCGTAAAGAAAATAAGAGTATGAACAGCAATAGCTTTTCCATTAGTCTTCATGCTCCCAAATTCCAGAGTACGATTATTACCCGGTATCTGAAACAGAAGCCCAGGTTGTAGCAATATGAAGAGTACAACTCCTATCAGCACTGGTCCCCAGTCCGCCATTAACAGCAATAAGAATTAATTATTGAGCTATTTCTGGTGCAGGTGGAAATTGAAAAACCTAGCCAAGAGAAAAAAAGGGGAATAGAAGCAAAAGAGGGGAGTAGCATTAGCTTATGGAGAAAGCGGCCAAGAAAGTATAGATAGGAAATTTCTAGTTTAGTGGGGTACTATATTGTGACAAGGACACTACTCACTAGGATTTTTGGATCCATTTGTGAGCACAAGACATAAAAAGCATTTATTAATAGCTTAGATTAGAAATGCTAAACACCAATTTTACTTTCGGCAATTTCTTGATCTTAACTATGCTTTGAGAGAACACAAAGGAAGAGAGAGGGGAAAGGGAACATTTTTTAGTGAGTTGATATTCAATTGAAAAAAAATTATTCGCACAAAATATTTACATAGTATTAATAATATATAGTATATTTTTTATATAAAAATTTTACAAATTATTTATAATTAATATGTATTTTTACATCAATTATTATTTTAAAAAATTAATCAATATGATTTAATATAAACATTTAGGTAAATTATTCTCTACTCAAGAAGTCCAAGAGAATATATTTCTTCTCAATTTTTGCGAAAGAAGGTTTGACATAGTTTTCTTCGCTTTCTCTCTTTCAATTCCCTTCGGGCCAATTTCATATCTTGTTTGGCTTTTTTCTGAAAAATATTTTTCTCAAAAGTACTTTTGGTGAGAAGCAGTTTGTGTTTTGGTTAATTACTTAGAAAAGTAATTCTGGGTAGTAATTAGTGTTTGACCAAGCTTTTAAAAACTGCTTCTAAGTGTATTTTTCTCAAAAGTTCTTTTAAAAAAAGTGCTTATGGAGAAAAACTATTTTTTTCTGTTTCTTCCAAACTGCTTCTGCTTTTTCTCAAAAGTGTTTTTTCTCAAAAGCACTTTTTTTTTTCTGCCAAGAAGCTTGACCAAACACTTAATTTTGAAAAAAAATATTTTTTTTGTGAAAAAAAGTACTTCTACGATTGGAGAAACTTGGCCAAACAGACTATCAGTTTTACCGATGATATTACAAGTAACTGATGAATAACATACCCTTCAACTTTATGTACCAAAAAAATATTGGTCAAGCACATTGTGCAGAAGAGAGAATATATTCCGCTGAAAATTAAATCAGATGACCAAAAAAATCTTTAAAAGTGGGAGATAAAGTTTTAAATAGAAGTTATTAAAAGATAAAGAAATGACAGGAGAGGATTGGATGACAGAATACTTTTGAACAGGTAACAACTTCCGCCAAGTTGATTTAAATATTTTTTTAGGTTCTCCTAGTTTTGAATAAAACTTATTCTACCTTTTATTCCTAGACACCAAGGCTTAGTAATTTATCAAACTTGTATTGGATCTATTTAATCTCCTTTTCCTCTTTTCTTTCATTTTCAATGATGTCCTGATTGTAAATCAGACACTTTTGGCATAAGAGCTGTTTTGAAAATCAACAGACATGATGCCACAATACCGTATAGGAAGATCCAATTCCCATGCGCTGGTCGGATAATGCGAATACCTCCTCGTTTGCGTCGTACCATTTTCACTTTTACCCCTCCATTCTCTACTTTTATGACGCATGTATGTACCAAACTCCCATTTGGCTATAAATTTTGGCTTTATTTTTTCAAAATAAATTTAAAAATATTATTTATTTAAAATATGATCATGTTTTGAGAATAAAAATTTCAAAAAATTTTAAGTTCCCAAAAATTGGTTTAGGGCATTTTTTGGGTGAAATTGTTTCTTCTACTCGCAAAACTTCAACTTTTATTCAAATAAAATGCATGTCCAAACACAACTTCAACTTTCTAAAATTATTTTTCAACACAAACTTCAAAAACTCTTTTTTCAAGTTTCAATCAAATCTATATTCAAACGCTATCTTAGAATTATATAGGCCAAAATCCGCTTTCAGAATATTTAGCGTAATTTGGCGTTAGAGAAAGTTATCGGTCGAGCTCGCCCAACACGCTGCGAGGTCAATGGCCGAGGTGATGACATGAGCCGTGGTCAAGATGTCGACGGTTATCGCAATCAAGATGTCAGTGAGGGTCGAGGTCGAGATCGACAGTTGATCATAAGACTTGCAACGGCAAAATTGTCAAGATAAGGCATTAAAAGGGAATATTCTAGTGAATATTCCCTGTATTTGTACTATAAAGGTTTCCTAGAAAAAAAAGAGTTCATATATATAGAAAGAAGATACAATGATAGGGGCATGTAAGATTGATTCTAATAAGAACATTTTTGAGAAGAGGACTTTCCCTCTAGCAAAAATATAAAGATTACATTTTTACAAAGATTCTTGTTCATATTATTTCTCATTTTTCTATCAGATCCGAGGACCGTTCATGGGAATCTTGGATCTATCTGTCATTCATCATTGTCATGTAAAATATTCGTCCAACTAATCAATTATTGGGTGAATCATTCTCTTTATTTACTTAAATGCCATTTATCTCTCTTAATGTTCTTGCTTTAAGAGTATTCAATATTTATTGCCACCAACTACATACGAAATCTGTCCCATCTAATATATGTCTTTGTCCTTTATATCTAGAGTTATTAGCCTTATCTAGATTTAACCCCTCATTATATAAATTTAATAGTTTAACCAAAAATTATATTTTTTGGTCAAACAATTTGGCACCGTCTGTGGGGATCTTCTAGCTAAGATTTTTAGTTTCTTCTAGATCTACAAACGACACTAGTTACTGGCACAAAAAAACCAAAAGAAGAACATTTTCCCCTTTATACATATAGATCTAACATGGCAGGTAATAGAGAAAAAAGAACGAGAACAACGAGTGATCTCCCAACCAACCTCATGGACATCATCCACGAGAGCTCTGAAGCAGTGGACGAGGACACAATGCCCCATGCCTCTCCTAGGCGAGGAGGATCACCCCTCCCCACTACAGCATCACAAAATCCCATGGCAGGTGTAGCAACCCCTTTGGGAGGGTGCTACTTAAGAAACAAATCTAATTTACTACTTACAACATTAAGAAGATATTAATTAAAAAAATATTCAGAATAATTTACTAGCAAAAATAGGCCCATGCGATGAGGTCCAAAGTGCAATATTTTTATTTTTGAAAATACTCTTCATAAATTTTTTAAAAATGAAATACAATGTCAAAATATCAACATAAGGTAATATAACTCTTCTTAAATAATCAACACGTTAAAGCAACTTTCTAACAAAATTATACTTTCATTCAACATCACTGCAAGTTTGTATTGTACATAAATTTCAAACTATCGGGTATAAAAAAGAAAACTAGTTTTCTCCTTTGTACATATTTACAAGACAAAGTGTAAATTCGGCATATTACAAGACTTGAGTTATTAACACACCCTAAAACAGCAAAATAAGTTACCAAATTCAAGTTACAAGATTTTGGTCTTAAAATTCAACAAGCCTCCAAATAACATACATAAGTGTGACATATATATTATGTACATGTCCCAAAATTATACAAAATCATGGTGCATATGCAAATGTGATCTCCATAAGTGCTCCCAAAAAGACTACTTCATAAGGTCGTCTTCAAATTTCATCACGTACATTACCTACGATAGAAAATAACTATCGCTAAGCATAAAGCTTATTGGCGTATAAACTATGGCTTGGAGCCATTAAATTCTCCAATTCCCCTTTTCAGTCATAGGTAGCTCAAATTTAACATAATTTAAAATAAGTGAACAAATATATCAAAAGTATCAAATATCAAACCTTGAAGTATTTCCAAATATCAATAACAATGTTCAAGAGTCGAGAAAGTATATATTATCAATCTAAGAGAGTTTGCCAAATATTCATTTTTTGCCCAATATGTACTTCATGCCATCACACTAAGAATAATCATATATCAAGATGTACCGAAGTCCCACATCAAGTAGGGTCAAAACCCAATAGTCAAGAGAATCATGAACCATATTAAAAATGGCTTTCTAGTTCGTACTTAACACGGAAAAGTTCCATAATTTAAAACGAACTACAAATCCAAATTCAAGATGGCAAAAGATCTGAATCAAGAGGCATGCCAAGATGAGTGATAAAGTCACTGCCACAAAAAGGACAAAGTCCCAACAAGAATGCAAAACGATCAAGCTGTCACAACCCAAATCGATGGGCCGTGACGAGTGCCCGACTTCTACCTATCGAACACCCCTAAGCATTCGTCTAAGATATAAACATGAAATAAGTGTAGGTCATGCATAACGTCTGGAAATAAATTACTAATTCATATGAATAACCTACGTGGAAAAATATGCCCAAAAGACGTATATATATATATATATATATATATATATACGGAATACGGTAGG